TTCTCTTTTCTAGTATCCTGATTTTTATTGCTTTGCTCACCAAATATCATTATTTCTTTTAAATACTTATCGTGATTGGCCTGTGATACTATTCGCCTACTTCGGTAGGTTTTTGTTGAGAACGTTCTAAAATAGTTTGTCAAGATAACTCCACAGTTTCATAATGTATGTAACAAAAGGCTTATTTTTAATCAGGAAACAAGACTAATGTATACATGCAGGTCCAAAAAAAAGTATTTTTTCACCTTCAAATGCTTAGGTCACATTTCCAAACCGGGGCCCGGCCGATCAGTTTTGCTTAATAATAATGGCAATAATTTATGTTATTAATATACGCAAATAGTTGTTATTATTAATTTTTCACATTTTTTTGTACATTCTTGTTAGGATAAATCGTTTATAGCCCATATGTTGTTCGCTTTGTATGTTGAAGGCCCAATATTATTCAATAATGACTATATTGCATTTTTTCGCCCAGCGGCCGACCCACCGATGCACCAACCCCAGACTGATTACCAGGCACGCGCGAACGACGATGAAAACACACCCGACGCCACGTACGCCGCCATACCAGGTAAAACGTTTGAAGTTTCTCTCTTTTCTTGCTTCAGTCCTTTGTGATTGTAACCTCACTAAAGTTGATGGTTTCTTTTAAGGTAGTTACCGTGATTGGTCTGTGATACTATTCGCGTATTTGGGTTGGTTTTCGGTGCAGAACTTTAATACGTAGTTTGTCAAGAGTACTCCACAGTTTCGTAATGTACCAAAAACCATATGAGCTCAAAAGAAACCACTGTAAAGATGCATGTCCGAGGAACTATTTCTTTACCTAGCCTGTAATGCTGATGTAACCTTTCCAAACTGGGGCCTTGCCGGGAAGTTTCGATGAACAAAAATCATACCAATAATATACGCAAATAGTTCCCATTATCAATTAAAAAAAACTTTTCTGGACTTTTCTGTTCAGGTAAATCACTCACCTTATTTTCGTGTATGTAATGCCCAATATTTTTCTCAAATGACTATATTACATCTTTTTTTTTCGTCCAGACGACCCACTCATTGACCAACCCCGGATTGATCACCAGGCACGTGCAAACGACGATGAAAACACACCCGACGCTACGCACCCCACCATACCAGGTAAACGTCTTAAATTTTCATAAGTAATAAGAAAATGATTTAATTTCTTTGCTTTTCATAATGAAACTTTAATATATATAAAATATGTGATGTATGGCAGGTGGACCATTAACAGGCACCAAGTATGCATATTATGGTCTCATTTGCACAATCAATGCACGATGATGCTATTTTTCCTACTGGTAAATTATGGGTACTTCATACTCGTGACATGTGTTCATTTGTTAAAACTGAGGATGACTATTAGTAAATGTTGACGTGGAAAATAGCCTGAGCGAAGAATGTT